GAGTTTTAATGGTTCCAATAGCTCCTTAGGGTAATTTTGGACTTAGGATTGCATTCGGATATTGATTTGGAAGTCCGTAGGTTATTTTGTTGGCGAAAGCTGTAAAAATGGAAGTTTGGAGAGTTGAGAAATTTGACCGATAGTTGACTTTGTAGTCAACGGTCTCGAATTTTGGTTCCGGAAGTTGGAATAGATTTGTTGTGTCATTTATGACTGGTGTCCAAAATTTGAAGTCAATCGGAGTTGATTTGATAGGTTTCGGCATCAATTGTAGAAGTTTAAAATTCATTAGTTTCATTAGGCTTGAATTGGGGTGCGATTCGTGTTTTTGATTTTGTTTTATGTTCTTTGAGGCCTCGAATAAGTTCGTATCGTGTTTTAGGACTTGTTGGTATGTTTGGTTGAGGTCCTGGGGGCCTCGGGTGGATTGCGGATGGTTAACGGATTGAAATTTGGCTTGAAGAATTGCTAAGTTTGCTGATGCATGTGCTTCTGGTTTCCTTAAATGCGATCGCGAGTGGAGGGTCGCGATCGCGAATAGTATTTTGGGCAGCTAGGATATTGTGCTATGCGTTCGCGTGAAGGTGTTTTCGATCACGTAGCATGGGAAGGCAGTGCATCGCGAACGCGTGAAGGGGTTGCGTCCGCGAAGAAGGAAAGGAGGAGATTGGGGTTCACGCGAGTTGTTCTTCCTGATCGCGTGAAGAGGTTCGCGATCGCGTTGGTCTGGGAACTTGTGAGTCGCGTTCGCGTGGGGTTATTCGCGGAGAGTAAATTTTGGTAGCTTGTGATTTGTGCTTCGCGATCACGAAGCATTTTCCTCGATCGTGATGAAGGGACATCTGGGCAGAATATATGAATTCAAAACGAGGGTTTGAGTTGTATTTCATAATTTGATTTTGGGAGATTGGATTGAGGCGATTCTTGGAGGGATTTTCTAGGGATTTATTGGGGTAAGTGATTCTAACTTGGATTTGGTTAATATACATGAATATATCATTGTTTTTATTATTTAATTTATATTTTGGGTTGGAAAAATTTTAGAAACTTCATAGGCTTAAATTTGAAGATTTAAAGGTCGAGTTCTGATCGCAATTGAGTAATTTTGGTATGGTTCGACTCGTGGTTGAATGGGTGTTCGGGTTTTACTAATTTTTCTGGATTCCGAGATGTGGGCCCGGGGTTGACTTTTTGACCTTAGTTAAAGATCGTAGCTTTATTAATTGGAATCAATTCCTATAGCTTTTGTTGATAGTATTACATTATTTTTTGCTAGAATTGATCCTTCCATAGGTCGATGCGCGTAGGAAGGGCATGCTAGCGGAGTGATTTGATTTGCTTGAGATAAGTATCTTATTTAAACTCGGTTGAGGCACTGATTTCCTAAACTGTTATGATAGCTACGTGCTATTGGGTGGGCACATGCGTGGGGATGAAGCCATGTGCTGGTACCGTTGTCATTTGTTCATGTTCGTGTTGTGTTCGGGCTCATATAAGCCTAGAATTAACTATTAAGCTTTAAGCTATGATATTTCTCATATTTGTAACAGTTTGTGTGATCTATTTGAGCCATGTTGAGGCTACATAGAGGTTTAATCCGTGAACGAACTTGATAAATGCTTTTCAGCGATGAAATTTCTAATTTGAGCTATGATAACAAACTTTGCACATGCCTACACGTTAGCATGTCATTTATACCAGTCCAAGAGCATGAGAATTGTTATTCATTCATCACATACATGTATACTTGTTTAATTGCTCTTGTATGACATGTTTGGACTGGAGGCCTATGACCATACCAGGCGGATTGTGTCATTGGCACGTGAGTTGACTGTGCAGCACGTGAGTTGTCCGTTCGGATCCATATATTGATGTTATTGGCACGTGAGTTGTCCGTGCGGGTTCTATTATTAGCACCCGAGTTGTCTGTGCAGCACGTGAGTTGTCCGTGCAGCGTATGGATACCGATCCATCCCCCTAGGGTAACCCTCTCATATTTCTCTCTTGATGGTGTACACGCGGTTATTGAGAATACTTATCAGTGGTTTGGAACGGATACGGAAAGTTGAGAGAATCCTGCCAGTACTGTTGTGTGGATTTTTCATTTCCTTGATCATTTATCTGATTTAACTGCATATCACCTCTACATGCCATGATATTGTCTGAGCAGAGTAATTAAGAAACTATACACATGCACACACCAATGTTTTTTCACAAAACTTGATGAGTTAGTTTTCAATATTGTTTTGTGCCGGTTTGAAAGACGGAACTACATAGGTGATAGCTAGTATCATTAATAATTTATGCTTCTCTTACCTTTTCGTATTTATTTACGATACTTATTGAGTACATTGGGTTGGTTGTACTCGTACTACACTCTACACTTCGTGTGCAGATCCAGGTATTTCCGGGCACGAAGGCTGCTAGTGTTGGAGCTTATTCAGTTTGAAGAGTATCAAGGTAGCTGCCTTGGCGTTCGTAGACCTTGACTCTCCTCATTTTTCTTTTAGTTTCATTTATACTGTTCTACCTTCCTAGACAGTGTTTCAGCAGTCATACCATGTTATTGTATAGATGCTCATGTACTCAATGACACCCGAATTTTGGGGAATTCTGTTTTGAGTTGCGGTGTTTTCTTCCAGTTATTATGAGATTTATTTACTTAATCCTATTTCAGTATGTTTTAAATTAAAGATGCCCTGTTATTTGTGAGTTGTCGGCTTGCCTAGTATCACGATATGCCCCATCACGGCACATATGATATTGGGTCATGAGAATTTTGTATTTCATGCAATGAATTTTTTCAAATATTGGTGCTAAATATCACACCAATACATGCTAAGAGAACATGGTAATCAATATTTCCTCCTCTCCCCTTATGAAAAATTAATCTAAATAGCCACTCACCCAAGGGCTTAAATTTTAAATAGTTGGTGAATATAAAATATATGTATAATCTTTATGTAATATGTGTATAACTATGTATCCATACGTAATATGTGTATAACTAAGTATGATCAATATATAATATATGTATATACAACAACAACCACCAAGTGTAATCCCATAAAGTGGGGTCTGGGCAAGGTAAAGTGTACGCAGACCTTACCCCTACCTTACGAAGGTAGAAAGGTTATTTTCGATAAACCCCTGACTCAAGAGAAAGAAAAAAACTAAAAATAAGCAGAAACAACAAGTAGTAACCATAGCAAGCAAAAATGATATAATAATCGAAGTGAAAGAAACGACATAAAGTAAAAGAAATTTGCAGATACGAAGAAAAGAAAATGTGCGACTAATACTAATGAAACCAACATGAAAATGAGACACCCCGCTTAACCACTATCCTTCTACCCTAATTTTCAACTTCCATACCCTCCTATCAAGGGTAATATGATCAGTAAGCTGAAGTAGCGCCATGTTATATCTAAGCACCTCTCCCCAATACTTTTTAGGCCTACCTCTACATCTCTTCAGCCTCCCCCTCCCCTCCCC